TAGATACGAATATGTAAATTTTACTAGTAGCTCCCTTGAAAGGGGAATTATTAGATACACGATGACAGTTTGTTATTATTAAAGTTTGTTTCGAAGCGTGACGTCAAACCTTGGGAATTTTCCACGAGAAGCTTCTCCTCTCGGATCGAAAATTCGCGGATTCAATTTATCTTCGCGTAAACGAAATCGATGCAAGCGAGTTTTTTCATCATCTACGTGTCTATACTAACTGCAAGAATATTTCGAGGAGGAATTTTCATGAACGAGCGCGAAAACGTATTCGAGAATTCGTAAAAAGGGATATCGAAGGTGGAAAATTCGTGTGTTCTTCTCCTCTCCGCCGCATTTTTGTTTTATGCATGAAAGCATAGGCGAGCGCCCGGATGACACGAGTTTCGCGTTGAAACCCGTCGACTCGACGAAGAAAATCGAAAAGTTTTCGCGAATTTTCTGTATCCTGTCGATAAACAATTTTCTTTTCCTTAATTCTTTTCGATTCTAAAAATTATTATATACAACAATTAATTTATACTATATTTAGAGAAAATTTTTCTAAAATCTATCGAAATTTATTACCAACGAATTCATGTATGAAAATTTTTATTTCGCATTTTCTCGATTTCTCGATCGTATATATATGTGTGGAAAAAAAGAACGGTGTGAACAATAACAAAGCACGTAAAACGAAGCGGGTAAAGAAATAAAATCGAGGCGGATGAGTAAAAAAAAAAAAAATGAAATGAAATGGAAATCGATATGGAATATGAAGGCAGAAATGGAAGGCAGGTGCACGCGTGTTAATCGACGATGCTAGAGATCGAATCGATCCCTCGAATATTCAAGTCAAAATATTATCCTCGTCATCATCGAGGATCTTACGTGACCAGAAACCAATTTCACCAATTTATGAAGAGAGAATCGTCGACGAAAAAAAGAGTTACTGAAAGCTATTTTCACACGCTATTTTGATTCATATACCCAAAGGTATTACTAAAATTGGAACTAAAATTCTACTTTTCTCTGAATGGATAGCCTCTATAGTTGTGTACTTCCAATCCAAGCTGGAACAATTAACAACTTGTGAATTCGTAGTTTTAGCCGAGTTTTCGAGATAATAATTTCGTTTATTATTTAAATTAAACAGTACGAGGAATTTGATATAAATATTTCTCTGGAAATTTTGAATCCCCCCAAGACGCGAGGACAAAGTAATAAAAGTTTTCGAAAACTTTTGGTTGGTAGAGTTTTCGCGATATATACAAGTTTCGAGCAGCTGCGGTTGACGAATTTTCACTGTAAATCTGATACGGGGACCCAACGGGTTCACGTATAAGAACGTGGACTAACTTATTTACGTGCAGGCAATTGGCCATTAAATTTAGTCGAAACTAAGGTTAAAAATATCGAATAAAATTATTTGTTTGACAATTTATTCCGTAGCTATTATAATTGATCCGCTTTTATAGCCTCGTATAAATTATTTGCGATTATTATTATTTTGAACAATTATCGAGAATTATCGAGAATTATTATTTATTATTAAATTTTATCCACATATGACGTGCGTTAAATATACACATCAAAAAAGTTTTCCAAACATATTCTCCCGGAATATACGGATAAAAGTGATTTCGTTTCGATAAAAACACGTATCGCGAGAAAGAAAACTTATCCAATAATCAAAAATGAATTTTAATATCCCGTTCATCGAGCAAGGAATACAAAATTTAATCTAAGACGTGCTGTTTATTCGTTGTCGATTTTACAATAACTGACACAATATTTTACGATACAAATTTTACAATAAATGACACAATCAACCGCGATCTGTCTTGCTCGACATATTTTGACGTTGTTCTCTTATATCCTCTTTCCGTAATAAGTTCTTTTAACTGTTTTCGAACGAATTTAGAATATTATTCTTGCACGAGTTTAAGCTGGATCAACTGAAACGTATCGAAATATCAGATTAGCTTTCGAGGAAGATTCTATCGACGAGAAGATCGTTCAGTGGTTGGTTTCAAAAATTCAGGTCTGCAAATAAGAATCTTGGAAACGAGCCTCGAGGTAGACCGAGATCCACATTGAACGAAAGGCAAAGCGGAAACTGATCCACGAAGACGCGTGTCTCCAATGAGACGGTTTTCAGGCATTCGGGCGCACACGGGTGAAGCGAAAAAATTGGAACAGATGGCGCGCCAATCGAAAGTTGCGGCGTTGGAAATGCGCTCGTCGCGCAAAGCTATGTTTTTGAACGCAATAGTAATCGTACGCGATCCGGACAACGGTTGGACGCGAATGAAAACCCTGAGCGAACGTCGAAACCGTTGTTACGAGTGAAAAAAGTTACGTAAAAGGAATAATTCGTTGTTCTTTTCTGAAACGAGGAGATGCCGTGACATTCTATTAAGAAATCGATTAAGAAACGATCGCGTTGGCCGATAAACGTGGATCTGTTCTTCCGCGTCGCGAACCATTCCAATAAAAATTAGCCGAATCGAAATAGGAAATCGTCCATCCGATCATCGCTCGTTTCGCCATTCATAGTTGTTTTGTAAATAAAATAAAATATTCGAGAAGCTGTAATTCCAGCATTCGAAGAATTTCTTCGCGCTGAAATCACGAAGTTTTATAAAAATACATCGATTGGAATTTCGAAAATATATTGTTTTTCTTCTCGATCAATGAAAAAGGAATTTCACGATTTAATAATTGTAAAAAAATCGAGGATTGTTTTTTAACCTTCTCGAGATCGATTAACGTAAAATCGATTTTTTCCTTTTGTCGAGATTAAGATAATTATACAAAATTCAAATAAATTTCACAAACATGGTATACGAAGAAACGATATCTTGAATTTTAATTTATTCAAACGAGAGAATCTGTAATGGAACGATTCAACGAGAGATTTGATGAAAATAACGTCGGAGACACTTTAGAAGAAACTTTCGAGTCATTAATACAGCTTCCCTTTCTCTTTATGATCCTCATCTTAGAGAGACTTGGCCAAAGTGTTCAAAGAGAATAGTAATTTATAACGCGACTCGAAAGACTTGCGTTACGAGAAGCAAATAATTATTCCATGTTATTCGATATAAAATTCATGGAAATTTTTTTCTTATTCATATTCTTGTCCGTTAAAATTGCAATAGTATCGTTATATTTGAAAGTAGGGATCAAAATTTCTAACGTGAGAAAGGAAAATACACGTTTCTTAAAATGTCGAATTTCATACGCAACGCGAGTTTAACTTTTTGACAAGCCGCGAGAGGCGCGACGAAGGCCAAGTAACTTAACTACCAACAACCACAACTCGTCAACTAACAAACTACGGTCGAACTCCGTCCACAAATCGTATTACGCAAACGTCACACGTTTATACCAGATGCGTGGCATGACGTTCAAGCGTGAACGTATTCAGCGCGTCTTGTTTATAGAATCCCTTGAGTTGTTAAACATATACATATATACGTGTTGTGCATATCTCTGTACAATCTGTTTGAATCTTTAAATTATCCATCGTATCAAATTATTTAGTCTACGAGAAATTTGTCGCGAATGTGCAGGCAAACCGATTCAGAGAGAAAAATAGCGAAGAAATTTTTGAAGAAAAAAATTAAACAGTGATTACAATTTTTCGTAGGAAGCGTATAACCTAACCTAACTTTGTTGCACATGTTAATTTGCAAGAATCTCGAATTGTGAATTACGTGTCTCCTCGGCTCTTTGTCTATCAATATTGCTATTGCATTTCTAATTCCTTATCGAATTTTCTAAGTGATTTATCAATTTATAAAATAATTTTTAATAATCTCCATCACAAACAATGAGAATTTCAAACTTATCTCAAGTACGATGTTCACTCTGAGAATTATTTTCGAAATTGTTTAAACAAAATGATTTTCCAAGAGTTCATACGACTAAAGATAAAATTTAATGGCAATAAAGTAACGTGCAAGCATTATTGCGAAAACTTCGTATCGTCGATTATTTAACATGTGATTTTCGAAATATCCGTGTAATTTATTTGGCTACAAAGTTTGACTAACAAGTCGACGTCTCTCTTGGAGACGTTGGAACTCGAGCGAAAGACGAATATCGCGAGTCGTCGAACACGTGAATTTCCCGCAGAGTAGGGGGGGAGGGGGCAGACGAAGTTTAAAGGTTAAACCGATGAATATGTAACGCGAGCCAAGCGCCACCACCGTGAAACTTTACGTGTTACAGTCTTTGAATACATTGGACCGTTGCCGTGTTAGCCGGCCCTCCGCCGTGACGAATCCGGTTAAAAATCTGGTTTAACTTTGACCGGGGATTAATTACACGCGGTTGATACAAGATTTCAATTTCGTTTAAAATTTATCGGGAGATAGATTATTCGCGTAAAAAAGAAGAAAGAAAAGAAATGGAAAGGATATTGTTTCGAGAGCGTTATAAATTATTAGAACGACGAGGCGTTCATCGTTCTCGCTCTCTAATTATTCTGTTTATGCTTCTGAACCCATTGTATATCCCGCAACCACATCGCGCATCAGCCCGCGTTTGCTCGATCATCGCCCACGTGAACCAGGTTTAATTACTTTTGTAATTGATACCCGTATAATATATGAATATTATACGCGCAAATAAATTATTTCGTTTCTCGTAATCTCTATAAATAAATCTTATTATCGCGATGAAATTATCGGATATACGAGTTTTTTGCCACGAACAAATTTTTCTTCCTTTCTTTAAAATAAATTTATTTTTTATATTTATTTTTTATATTATTTTTTTCAAAAACGAAATATTCTTAAATATCTTACTTATAATTGAATAGAAACGTAGAATATCCAAATTGATAGAATTAATTTCTATCCCTTGACTGATTTGAAAATTCCACTCTCTCTACGAAATTTTTCAAAAAATTTTTCAAAAAATTTTTTAAAAAAGGGAAAATGGTTGCAGCATCGGTTAAATCGAATGGAATGACGAAGAGTGTCGAAAATCTGTCGAAACAGGTCGAATTGATGGCAATGATAGGCGCCAATCTGAGATTTGGGATCGGCGCATCGGGTAACGCGTCGTCAAACGCGACCAAGGTGTTCCAGTGTCATCCAGGGGGCGCGACAGAGGCCAGCCTCATCTTCGGCCTCGGCGCTCTGGGCATGGGAGCGAACTTCCTGTTGATGGCTCTGATTCTGGCCAAGCGACAGTTGCGAAGGTAATTCCGAGAAACTTTTTAAAAAGTCTGAAACTGCCGTTGGAATATATCTTGCTGAAAAGAAGGGCGCTCTGCTCGCATGTAACGCGTTCACGTGAAAGCAAGGATTTAAACATTTATTGGGAACGAAATTTGTGATTGGAATTCGCGAAATTCGCTCGATTGAGAAAATTTATTTTCGATCGAACATTGATCGTTATCTCATCTAGATTAGGCTTGGAAGAATTTCTAATTGTGCATGCAGTATGGTAAAATAAAAGAAAATTTTAATCCGTCAAATTACGCGTTTGTGAATATTGTGGAGTATAATTAATATAGCTCGATTAAAGTTTGCTTGTCTGACGTGTAAAAGGAATCAGTTGATGAAAAAGAAAGAGTGTTGAGAATCGATTCTAAAGCATATCGGAGCATGTCTCGTGTATTTCATATTATTCTATTGCATTAGAAATAATTTTTCTCTTTTTCAAAAATTACGACTGAACAAGTGAAATCATATTCGAGACATTGGCAAGATATATCATATCAATTGTTACACTAATGTACTGTAAAATGAACAGTGTGCATTTATCCAACTTCTTTCCAAAAATTATGATATTTATCATCGTAGACGTCACAAAGAAAATGAATGAACCATTTTCTTATCCAACTTCTATTACATTAAAAATAATACAAGAGATGTCTATTTCACATACTTCTATCAAATTAAAAATAACTTTTCCAATGATTGAGCACACAATAATGATTCTAGAGATGTATTTCACATATTTCTATTAAGTTAGAAATAATTTTTCCAACAATTGAGTATACAAGATACGATTCTACAGATGTCTCATACACTTTTATTAAATTATAAATAATTTTTCCAATAATTGAGCACACAATAATGATTCTAGAGATGTATTTCACATATTTTTATTAAGTTATAAATAATTTTTCCAACGATTGAGCATACAAGATACTATTCTACAGATGTCTCATACACTTTTATTAAATTATAAATAATTTTTCCAATGATTGAGCACACAATAATGATTCTAGAGATGTATTTCACATATTTTTATTAAATTAGAAATAATTTTTCCAACGATTGAGTATACAAGATACGATTCTAGAAATGTTTCGTACATTTCTATTAAATTATAAATAATTTTTCCAACGATTGAGTATACAAGATACGATTCTAGAGATGTTTCGTACATTTCTATTAAATTATAAATAATTTTTCCAACGATTGAGCATACAATAATGATTCTAGAGATGTATTTCACATATTTCTATTAAGTTAGAAATAATTTTTCCAACGATTGAGCGCACAATAACGATTCTAGGGATGTCTGGTGTATTTCATACACTTTTATTAAATTATAAATAATTTTTCCAACGATTGAGCGTACGAGATTGCATCACAATCCCCGCAATAACGATTCTAACGTACATCAGAGTTCCATTAAAAACAATTTTCCAAAATTTTCCAAAATTCGATCGATCGAAACGATTCGATTGGCAAGATACCACGTCCAAACGATCCACGAATCCCTGCCCAATTATCGAAACGTGTTTCAGATGGTCGCAAGGGTTGCTGTTCCATCAGGCGATGGTGGATTGCGCCCGGGCCGCGATTTTATTGCCCCTAGGCTCGAGCATCCTCAACTGTCAACCGATGACCAAGTGTTCCCTGGTCGAGACGGCGTTTCTATTGCTCGTCACGGTGTCCACCGTGAACATGCTGATGTATTTCACATATTTCTATTAAGTTAGAAATAATTTTTCCAACGATTGAGCGCACAATAACGATTCTAGGGATGTCTGGTGTATTTCATACACTTTTATTAAATTATAAATAATTTTTCCAACGATTGAGCGTACGAGATTGCATCACAATCCCCGCAATAACGATTCTAACGTACATCAGAGTTCCATTAAAAACAATTTTCCAAAATTTTCCAAAATTCGATCGATCGAAACGATTCGATTGGCAAGATACCACGTCCAAACGATCCACGAATCCCTGCCCAATTATCGAAACGTGTTTCAGATGGTCGCAAGGGTTGCTGTTCCATCAGGCGATGGTGGATTGCGCCCGGGCCGCGATTTTATTGCCCCTAGGCTCGAGCATCCTCAACTGTCAACCGATGACCAAGTGTTCCCTGGTCGAGACGGCGTTTCTATTGCTCGTCACGGTGTCCACCGTGAACATGCTGACAACAGTGCTGAACGACAGCCCGATCTTCCCCGAAACCGACGAGGAGGCGGACCTCGCCGCTCCTTTGCTCATGGACTCGCCCCAGGCAAGCGCTCTCTTTTATTCTCTCTCGTCCCCTTTCTTTTCTTCTTCTTCTTTTTTTTTCTCTCCACGATTCTCACTTTGTCTCTACACTCTGCCTCACGTTTGCTTTCGTAGATCGACGCTCTTGAAAAGCTCGAGTGACGATACGATTCTGTAATTCGTCGCCTATTTTTTTTTTTTTCTTAGTATTCAGAGAGAGAGAGAGAGAGAGAGAATTTGGAAGATTTATTTAGTTTCGTCACGTTGTTGCACAGACGAATATTATTTTTAATTCGATATTTGAAATTCTATTGCAATGTAAATTAACAATTTAAATCGTCAAACGTTTGATAATATATACCCCAGTATACTCGGTGGTAGTAGCTTAGTCGAAAGCTTTTAAAGCTTTCACCGCCCTCGCGAAAGGCAAAGCTTGCAACTTTGTTTCGTTGTCCAAGCATCCAAACGGCGCATTTCTTTTTTTTTTTTTTTTTACGCGCATCTTTGTCGCGTAGCTGGAACTGGAAACCTTTGGATGGATATTCTTTTGAAAAAAAAAAAAAGAAAATGAATGGAAGGGGGGAAAAAAATAAGAGTAAAAACGATTCTTTGAAAATGTAAAAGATCGTCGTTATTAATTAAAAAGCAATTTTTCTCGACAAAGAAATGTATGATAATAAGGTCGATTGGAAAAATGGTAGGAAGAAAAATATTCGAATAAATTTCAACGATGATTCACGATCCGTATATCATCCGTATGGCTCGCTCCATCGATCGTTTTATCGTCCACAAACAAACGCCATTCGAATCCAAGATTGTGCTACTTGGACATATATTGCAATTGGGAGAAAAGACCGATCTATTATGCTTTTACCTTTGCTACGTAACGTTCAATACACTGCAGCTATTTAAAACTTTTAAAATTCAGTTAAAATTATAATCTTATAAAAATTATAAGATATTAATTATAATGTTATAAAATTAATGTAAAATTATATGTTTTTGACAAATAAGCGAAATGTATATATATATAATAAATAATACAATTTCAAATTTAATTCTTCATCATTAAAGATTAATCGAATTAATCGAAAGTTTTTAAATTAAAAGAATAATATTATATTTGTAACGTTAAAATGTCGTTGGATTGGAAATAAAAGGCCGAGATAAAAGGGACGATAAAAAAGATCGATTGAGGGATCGATTAAGAAGGAATCAAGAATCGATTAAGAATCGTCGCAATTCGAGAGGAGATTATATCCGCGAAGGCGACTTCGCGGAACGCAAAGTCATCACCCCTTTAAACTGGGTAGAAGTTAAGCCAAGTTGGAAATCGTGTAATCCCCAAGTTCTACGATATCTTGGGAGCGAAGATGGCCTTAACACGAGAACGAGTTTACAAATCGTGGTAATAGGTGGTAAGATTTTTAATTAATAAATTGTTATTAATAAAAAGAAAAAAAGAATGAAATAAACGATCGTTTAAAAGAAAAAATTCGTCATTCGATTTCGATCGACTTTTCGAAACGAGTTGTTTCTCCTCTCCTTGCTTAAAAAAAATTTCATACAAATCCATCAACCAATTATTCCGATTTCAATTTCATAATCTCGTTACCACAACTTCGATTAAAGATCCAAGAATAAAACGAATTGAACAATGAAAACGAAGAAAACGTTGAAGTTCCACGCACGATCGAGTCGATCGATAAGATAAATTATTCTAGGGAATGAATATTGATCGATGAAGAGAAGAATGAAATAAACGATCGTTTAAAGAAAAATTCTTTTACAAAATTCGTCACGATTTCGATCGACTTTTCGATCAATTTCGAAACGAATTGTTCCTTTTCATTATTTAAAAAAAAAAAAATTCATATAAATCCATCAATCAATACCAATTATTCCGGTTTCAATTTCATAATCTCGTTACCGTAACTTCGATTAAAGTTCCACACACGATCGAGTCGATCGATAAGATAAATTATTCTAGGGAATGAAAATTGATGGATGAAAAATAGAATGAAACAAACAAAATCGTTTGAAGAAAAAATTTTCATATAAATCCATCAATCGATACCTAAAAAAAAAAAAAAAATATCATTCCTGCGCGTGAATTACTCTCGAACGAAAAATAAAATTGGAAACAGGGCCAATCAAGTTGGAGAATAAAGAGTCTCCCGCCACCCCCTCCCCCCCCTTCTTCTTTCCCCGCAAATCGAATTGCGGGGAACGTTCGTAAGAAGCACGTTTTCCCCGGGCGCATTTTCAGCCGGCCCCGTCCCGTTTAACTCGATCAGAGACGACTTAAGTGACGGCGCCGAGTGCCTTTGAGGCGGGTTCGAGTTTCAAATCGATTTAACGAATATAGCGTGGGAACTATGTGTAAAACACGCCTCCTTACGTACGAACGAGCGTCTAGACCTAGGAGGAGAGGCGAAGTGCCGCTCGAAGATTATTTATGGATCGAAGTACGGCCTCCCTCTCTTCGCGAATTTAAAAACTCTTATTGGTTTTCGCAAACAGTGTGTCGAGCTTTTTTTTTTTTTTTTAATAATCGATCGATCGTTCAATCGTGATAAATATGTATCTTCACAACGATTGGCTTCTTCTTCTTTTTTTTTTGCAAATATTTCTCTTTATTATTGTTAATTGATACTAGAAGTATGAAATTATCGTTGTGATTATTAATTATTATTATTATTCTATATATAAAGTTTCATCATTAGGGTCTAGTAAAAATCTTCCAAGTTCTAGTGGTTCTAGTAATTTTTAATTTTCCCTAACCTGGAAACCAGAAGGCCCAATTCAATTTCCATTTATCTGTCGAATTTTACGAACACGTCTAATCTCCGCGAGTCTTTCCGCCTTGAAAATTTTAACTTTCAACAAGAGAAATTAGTCGTCGTTCGACAACGAGTGAAAGTAAATTCGCTTTGTTCGAAATTTTAATTAGTTTTTTTTAGGGAATCAAAAAGATTACCTTTTAAAAGATCTATATTATTGTATTATGTGTCTCATTACACGATTTACGAAAAAATCTATTAGAACGTTAGAGGAAATAATACAATGATATAGATCTTTTAAAAAGGTATCGATATTTTGATTCCCTAAAAAAACTAATTAAAATTTCGAACAAAGCGAATTTACTTTGAGCGATAATTTCGTTTAAAATGCTCGAAATAATACGTTAATCCTCGTTCCTTAAGCCTCGTTTTATCTGCAATTGGTTCGAGTAATAAATCAAGTTGGATCAACTTAATTATTACGGATTATTAACTTAACTTTATCCCCGACCGTTCGATAAAATTCTCTCTCGTTCCATCATCTTTAAAATCGGATGTTTACATAACGGATGTTCGTAATTAGAGGGCGAGCGAGATTCTGGCAAGACGGAACGATCGCGATAACGATAACGATCCATAATCGATAATCGATAGAGCGCGGATATTCGAATGATTGGACAGACGGCCGCGCGGTGGCGCGGCGGGGATTAATCGAGGCGCGATGGCGAGGTCGTTAAAAGACGAATAAACGGGACGCGACACGATTAATCCCGACGCGGGCGCATTCCGTTGCGGACAGTTTACACCGCAATCATCCAACGATGAATTCGTTCCAACAATCCGTGTCATGCTCCCATTATATCCCTCGCAACCGTCGTCTCTCTGCGAGCCTCTTCCTATATTCTCGCTTCCGTTTCATCGGATACGCGAGAACCTCTCTCAACCTAATCCCATTGCCGAACCGACATGACCGAAAAATTATATGATGTATATGAAAATGTCTATATTGAGAGATAAATAAATTCGTTAAATTCAACGAATAGATTCGATGTACTTTCTTGCTAGAGTTAAAGTTGTGTATCTCGTTATGAAATATTATGCGAGAAAACGACCGAAAAAATTGATATATGTATATATATATATATGAAAATGTCTAAGATTAAGAGATAAATAAATTCAAAAATAAGTAAGAGAAAAAATTATATTTTCTGCAACGTAACTGTCTGCAAGCTTCTTCACCATCGAACCGACATGACTGAGAAATTGATATATAAAAATGTCCATATTCACTTGTAAATAAATTTACGTAAATTTCATATACTTTTTGCTAAGATTAAGATGTATCGTGCTTCTCCGTAATCCTTCTATCTCTGTCCTTGTAATTCTCTTTCCATTCTTACCACCACCGATATACGAAAACATCTATATAGAGATAAATTCACATTAAATTTTCCCTAAGATAAAGATGTATCATGCTTTTCCGTAATCTTCCTCGTATCACTGTCTCTCCAAGCCTCTTCCCATTCTCATCTCCGACGCGAGCATATTAACCCAACCTAACCTAACCTCACCTAACTTCACCACCACGACCAAGAAAATTGATACGCGTATCCAACACACTCGCTCGAAATAAAATAAATTGTTATATTCTATGATTCTCAAGGTTAAAAATACCATCGTGAGTCCCTCTCTTCGCTCGTGTAAGCGAAACCTAGAAAGATATTTCGAAATGCATCGCCACTTAAAGAGGTTACGAGGAAAAAAGGAGTTGAAAATTCGCGACACGTCCAATCTTTGCATCAAGATGGCGAAACACGATAAATGTTCGGCCGACCTATTTTTCCCCCCAACTTTCGATGCGACTCGAAGGGAATATATACAAAGTATACCCTCGTACATGGATTTATTATAGACGTATTCGTATTTTTAGACGGACCTCTCTTTCCCTAAATCCCTATCTTACATCTTTTGCCCGTTAATCCTTTCGCTACTATAATCAACTATAGTCGTTCTGCATAAGATGTCACTAACAGGTGACTATAATCGCTCTGCATACGATGCCACTGACGGGCGACTATAGTCGCTCTGAATAAGATGCCACTGATGGACGATTATAGTCGCTCTACATAATACCACTGAGATACTACGAGCGACTATAATCACTCTGCATAAGATGTCACTAAGATACTACGAGCGACTATAGTTACTCTGCATAAGATGCCATTAAGATGCTATGAGCGACTATAATCACTCTGCATATGATGCCACTGACGGGCGACTATAATCGTTCTGGATAAGATGCCACTGATGGACGACTATAGTCGCTTTATATAAGATGCCACTAAGATACTACGAGCGACTATAGTCGCTCTGCATAAGATGTCACTGAAGTATTACGAACGACTATAATTGCTCTGCATAAGATGTCACTAAGATACTACGAGCGATTATAGTCGCTCTGCATAAGATGTCACTGAAGTATTACGAACGACTATAATTGCTCTGCATAAGATGCTATTAAGATACTACGAGCGATTATAGTCGCTCTGCATAAGATGTCACTGAAGTACTACGGCCGACTATAATCGTTCTGCATAAGATGCTACTGACAGGCGACTATAGTTGCTCTGCATACGATACCATTAAGATACTATGAGCGACTATAGTCATACGATGCCACTGAGATACTATACAGTCGACTACAATCGCTCTACATCTAAGATGCCACGTATTGTGCGACATGACGAGTATTTGAAACTGTAGCATCGATATTTTGTTTTTATCAAATTTTTTCCTTTTTTTCAATAAACACCGTCAAAACAACTCGAATTTCGAGGCGTAAACGCGGTTGTTGGCGATCTTTCTCGAGCGTCGTACGCATTTTTGGTTGCGGTGGTTCGTTCAATGGTCGAGAAGGTTAATAATAACAAGTCATCGAGCCAACGCTCACCATCGCCCTCACCCCCTCCCCCTTAACCCCTCCCCGTTTTCCAGTGCGTTTTGTTCGGCACGTTCATGATATGGTTCGCGAGCATCACGATCAACCTGGGCCCGACGTTTCTGAGCGGGGCTCTGGCAGCGAACACGGAATCGGGGCACAACGCGCCGAGCTGCCCCCTGGTGCACGGCCCGTTCCGCCATTACATACTCAACGTCCTGTGGATCGCCATCAACATGATATGCGTCGCCCTCACCCTCATCCATCTCAGGAAACTGCACAAAGACCTGACCAAGGCGAACGTCGAAGCGGTACGTATTTATGCCTCTCCCCTCCCCCCCCGGCCTTGAAGCTTTATCTCATATTTTCACGTCGAAAGCATGCATCATCCGCCGCATTGCCCGCTGCACGTGACGACGCCATTTTGCCCAATCTACGCGTGGGGGGACGAAAGTATTGTTGTTGTTGTTGTTGTTTTTGTTGTTGTACACGTGGGGATGATCGTCGTGGTGATTTGCAGATTCGATTCGAGTGAATTAATATTTCTTTTTTTTTTTTTTTTTTGTTACTACGAGCGATTATAGTCGCTCTGCATAAGATGTCACTGAAGTATTACGAACGACTATAATTGCTCTGCATAAGATGCTATTAAGATACTACGAGCGATTATAGTCGCTCTGCATAAGATGTCACTGAAGTACTACGGCCGACTATAATCGTTCTGCATAAGATGCTACTGACAGGCGACTATAGTTGCTCTGCATACGATACCATTAAGATACTATGAGCGACTATAGTCATACGATGCCACTGAGATACTATACAGTCGACTACAATCGCTCTACATCTAAGATGCCACGTATTGTGCGACATGACGAGTATTTGAAACTGTAGCATCGATATTTTGTTTTTATCAAATTTTTTCCTTTTTTTCAATAAACACCGTCAAAACAACTCGAATTGCGAGGCGTAAACGCGGTTGTTGGCGATCTTTCTCGAGCGTCGTACGCATTTTTGGTTGCGGTGGTTCGTTCAATGGTCGAGAAGGTTAATAATAACAAGTCATCGAGCCAACGCTCACCATCGCCCTCACCCCCTCCCCCTTAACCCCTCCCCGTTTTCCAGTGCGTTTTGTTCGGCACGTTCATGATATGGTTCGCGAGCATCACGATCAACCTGGGCCCGACGTTTCTGAGCGGGGCTCTGGCAGCGAACACGGAATCGGGGCACAACGCGCCGAGCTGCCCCCTGGTGCACGGCCCGTTCCGCCATTACATACTCAACGTCCTGTGGATCGCCATCAACATGATATGCGTCGCCCTCACCCTCATCCATCTCAGGAAACTGCACAAAGACCTGACCAAGGCGAACGTCGAAGCGGTACGTATTTATGCCTCCCCCCTCCCCCCCCGGCCTTGAAGCTTTATCTCATATTTTCACGTCGAAAGCATGCATCATCCGCCGCATTGCCCGCTGCACGTGACGACGCCATTTTGCCCAATCTACGCGTGGGGGGACGAAAGTATTGTTGTTGTTGTTGTTGTTTTTGTTGTTGTACACGTGGGGATGATCGTCGTGGTGATTTGCAGATTCGATTCGAGTGAATTAATATTTTCTTTTTTTTTTTTTGTTTTATATATAGAAATAATGTAGCATAAATGGATTCGTACGTAAGGAATATTATTGAATATTATTTATAAATATTATCAAGTTTCGAGGTGTGAATCTGTATTTCATCGCATATGCGAACAACTGCATGTTAACATTATCGAACATCATTTTTCGAATACAAGAGAGAAATCCAAGTGGCACAACTTTCTTCAGAGCACTTTTCACGAGACGAAGTATTCTGATATATCGAGAAGAATGTTTTTCTTCTTTTTCGATTATTTATTATTACTAGTCGCGATTATTATTACAGCTTATTCGATTTAAATAATCTAAAATGATTAACTTATGCTTATTATTAACGCACAATTAAATTAATTCAAGCCTTAAAAAAAATATATATATATATAAATATATACATCGAATATAATACACACGCATATAAATTGAAGAACGACGGAAATTTTTCTAATACTTTTTCTTCATTTTTAAAACTGTATTGCATAATTATTGTATAGCCAGTACAGTAGTTATTATATAGTAAATGATATAATTTTTCTCACAGCACTTTTCACCAGTTTAATTTTCTAATTTCTAGTATAATTTGTTATGTAATTCAAATAATATTCTCGTAGAGTATTACTTTGTATAAATTAAACAGCTTAGTTCCAACAGTTAGCTTATACATCATTTCCAGTAGTGAGAGATATAATTCCTTCCAATTTATAGTTTTTATTTTTTTATATAGATCGTAGTGAATTTAGCAGTTAGACGAATATCATTTCTGAATATTTTGTAGGAGAAGGATGATTATGAAATATGCTTTTTCTAGAGGAAAAAAGAAAAAAGAAATTTAGAAGCTATTAGAGAATTCATTAGGCGAAATAATTTATCTCTTCGCTTCGGATCGTTCGACTTTCCTTTCGCTCGAAACTTTTCAAACTTTTCGAATTTTTCAACACTTTGCTGGATATTGGCGCAATAATGCTTTCCCTTTTTTTCCGTTAAAAAGCACTTGACAACCGTTCGTGTCGTATCCTTTCCATCTCGTGATCCTTTGTCAAACTTATTCTACATCGTAAAGTGAAAATTTCCTTGGGAACGATGAATATTCATGATTGAATATTCTCACGCGTTGATCCTCGCGTAAATCTTGTAATATATCTCTATTATTAAAAGAGGATAATCAACGTGTCTGCCTGACGTCACAACGTCATCATCTTCATCGGTGTAAAATATCCTTCTATTTAAATTATCGACGATACTTTATTATCAGATTAATTCAAAGTTTTCTTGAATTTTTACTGCCTGTTCTTTAAAAAAAAATTCTTTGGAATAAACGTCGCCTTGTAAAAGGGCAGCTGGTTGACGCATTGTGCACAAACCGTGTCTGACTACAGAGAGACTAATGCCACTAGCATCGTTCGTCTCTCTCTCTCTCTCTCTCTCTCTCCTTGCACACTCTCCGTCACTCATATCCACCTTACAAAGGAACGATACGAACGTTATGCGCCAATTTCTACGGGGCATCGATCGATGGATCGATGGAAATGAGAGAATGTTCAAACTATGTTTTATTGGTGAATTTTTACGCGAACTATTTTATTTTAAATCTTTCAATTTCTATTAATTTTGAATAATCGAATTTTTTTTAATAAAATTTCGCAGAAAATGAAAATTAGAAAAATTTCAAAATTTCTTTTCTACATTTTTTCTCATTCACAACGAATTGTAAATTTCAATAATGTTGGCCAAACTATTTTATTTTAAATCTTTCAATTTCTATTAATTTTGAATAATCGAATTTTTTTAATAAAATTTCGCAGAAAACGATACTAGAAAATTTTCAAAATTTCTTTTCTACATTTTTTCTCATTCACAACGAATTGTAAATTTCAATAATGTTGGCCAAACTATTTATTTTAAATCTTTCAATTTCTATTAATTTTGAATAATCGAAACTTTTTTAATAAAATTTCGCAGAAAACGATATTAGAAAATTTTCAAAATTTCTTTTCTACATTTTTTCTCATTCACAACGAATTATAAATTTCAATAATGTTGGCCAAACTATTTTATTTTAAATCTTTCAATTTCTATTAATTTTGAATAATCGAAATTTTTTTAATAAAATTTCGCAGAAAATGAAAATTAGAAAATTTTCAAAATTTCTTTTCTACATTTCTTCTCATTCACAACGAATTGTAAATTTCAATAATGTTGGCCAAACTATTTTATTTTAAATCTTTCAATTTCTATTAATTTTGAATAATCGAATTTTTTTTAATAAAATTTCGCAGAAAACGATATTAGAAAAATTTCAAAATTTCTTTTCTACATTTTTTCTCATTCACAACGAATTGTAAATTTCAATAATGTTGGCCAAAGATATAGAAATTGAGTTTCTTCTCGAGTTTGAGAAATCTGTAAAAAAATTGATACGAATTCTACAATTCTTCCGTATCGTCAAATTTTTTTATTCTCTTGTATTTGCGTTTTGCAAAAAGCTCGATGTAAAATAATAAATTCAAATGAAAGCTGGACACGCGAATAGAAATTTGCAATTCCTTTAGATCCATCCTCAATGGCTACCGACACCGTGCAATAATTATTCATACGATGTCAGCATCATGCACCAGCAGAGTGTTAATTCGAAGAAAATTAAGCAATTTATTATTCAAATTTTGGTTCCTACGATTTACCATCCAGTTGCCCTGTTAAAGCAAATAGCCGTGATGGCTGTTGATTAGAACGGTAATTAGCACTGTTTTCGTTTCGTTACGCATATAATTGCCAATCCGCTTAACAGCAATCCGGAATATTATTAATATATATACATATATTATTTTAATTTAAGCATAACAATAATAGCAACTTTAGAAAATGAAAATAGTTAATATTCTATTTTATTTATAATGTTAGAAATATTTAGATAAAATTTGTACAATTCGCAGTAGTGTAAAAAATTTAATGATTTTCTATTTTTTTCATTTGGTAAATTTAATGTTTTGATTTAGAAATTAATTTGAGAACACTTTACAATATTTAGATTTTTTTTTTTATAATTTAATTTAGTCGAATTGAGAAGTTTTTAACCTCCGTCAACGCGAGATTTTTCGAGATTGTAACGATACGAAAATTTTTTAAATCGCGCAAAATTAATTTATTTCACAGATTTGAAGAGTAGAGAAAAGCGCAAGTTTTATGATATGATCGCACTACTAAAATTTAGTTCCCCTCGTTCTCTACTGAAAAAATAATCGATTTTTGTATCAGGTAAAGGTAGCACTACTAACAATTCTCGTGAATACAACGGGTAACCAACAAACGAATGCGGTTCCTGAAAATTCTGCCGCATCCACGAATGGTGGCACGCCCAAGGTAATAATAAGTAATAAATAATTAACTATAAAAAAAAAAAAATCTCTTTCTCTTTCTCAAGAAAGATGATTTTAATAAAATTTAAACTTTCCTAATTAATTTTTTGAGGTTTCAATTAATTATCGATTCACCAAATCTATCTGTAATTCGTTTAAAATTATTCTTTTTTTTTTTTTTTCATTTTAAATTGTAAAAAATTCCAACTTTTACTTAATTTATTAGTTCATTATATTGAACTCGTACGTACTTAAACGATAAACAAATAAAAGGGGAAAAAAAATCACAGCATATGATTTTCTCTCTTGTAAAAAAAAAAAGCATATCACTCAAAAAAAAAAAAAAAAAATACACATTTCCAAATAATCGATATCCAATAATCAAATATAGCAGCAGCTTACGAGTTTCGCACGAACGATTCAATTTATCAAATTACAATTCCGGGGGAAAAAATATTTTTTTCTAAAAAATAAAATCTCCCTCGCCATCACGACCATCGCACAATTTTTCTTGATTCGAATCTTCGAATAAAAAAAAAAAGAAAGTAAGAAAAAAAAAAAAAGAATCCCTGTTGCAATTTTTTATTATCCTTCCTCTTCGTCAAAATAATTCAAATCCTCCCACGAAACGAACTGGTGTACGCACGACCACCGATTCATTTCTCCTCGTAACCTCGTTCGCATTGTTCGAATCCCCGCCACCTCATTATCAGAGACACCCTGCGCGGAATACGCGCGACAACCACGAGAGAAAGAGGTCCCGGCTCTAAACGAGAAACGAAGAGCGTCGAGTCCCCCCCCCCCCCACCACCACATTTCGCTCTGTTCGTTCCCCTAAAAGGGAAGTATTGCTTCAGAGAAGCGGGGCGGCAGAGGAGCACCGGAAAATGAGGAATTACTTAAAGAGGATGGAGAGGGAGGGCGTGCAGAGAGTGAAGATGTTTCTGGTGATCACCGCCGCGTACGGAATCTTTTGGGGACCACTGTTCTTCGTCACTCTGGTGGATCATCCTATCATCGGTAATCCAACCGGTTACGAGGTAAATTTATCCGTTGCCATATCATTTTGTGTGTGTGTGTCGATTTGTTATCTTTGTTGAATGGAGAGAGCAAAGGGAGAAGAAATTTCTTATTTATGTATTCTCATTTATCCTCGGTCGGTAATTAGGATCCGAAAGAGCTTACCTACAGGATCTCGTTAATTCAACACTGCATGAATTAAGGCCATTTCCCCTTCTGATGTGTATCGGATTATAAAGATTTTAAATTTTAAATCACCAGTTGGTCCTCTTTACATTTTACGAGATCTCCAATTCCTTTATTCGTTCGCTCTTCGCTTTTGATTTTTTTTTTCTTTCTCTATCTCTATCTCTTCCTCAAGGCAATCAATTATTCAATGATTCTGCAGCAAGTAATAAAATCTTCGGGATAAAATTCTCGAAAGAGAATATATTTAAATAATATTCGTAAACTTTTATTACTTGGTTAACAAATTTTTTTTTTTATTACGTTTCACGTACGAAAGAGACGCGCCAACTCTTTTTAACCGATCGAGCGCACAGAAGCTTTTCGAACGGTGCAACGCCGAATTCACGCGAACCGGATGTGGCTTTACTTTTTGGCGCGCAATACAAATTCGAGCTCTCTCACTTTTTGCCTCTCCCATACGAAACTTTCCTTTTTTTTTTTTTTAATACAATTGCGAGAGAATAAATTCGAAAAAAATCATAGGAAGAGCGAGTTTGTCACGAAAGAATTTTAATAAATTGCAGGTGACTCTACATATCGCGTACATTCACGCATTCGTGAACCCGGTACTTTTCCTCAGCCTGCACCGTGGTCTGCGTCAAGGTCTTTCAGAATTCTTCTGCGGCTGCTGCGAGGTGATCGCCAGCTGGATCCTGGGTCCAAGCATCCCCGTCGAAAGTGCCGTGCAACCACCACGATACCAAGAGCCGATCGAGGCGGTCCCTTCGCCCCCCGAACCCCCGTTGGTTCAGCCTAACGCGTGTCCCGATCTGACGGACGTGGCCCTCCTCAAACCGCCCTTGCCGCCCACCGGCAAACACTTACTGGTACTTGATGAACAAACGTTCACTCTTTCAAACTTTCCTTCCAACTTTCACCTTTCTCTCTGGCTAAATTGCAAAGATCGAATGCGAAAAACTGGAATGTTTTATTATTGGCTCGCGAGGAATGGCTTTTAGTTTAACTTAGTTGTTTAGGCTAATTTCATCATCAGTTATCGAATTGCATCTTTTCATGAATAGCTGATATTCTTGTTAGCTCTTAATTATTTGATCAGAAACACAATAGTTTCGAATTCGTAATTTGTTGGACGTAAGTTGACTTTATCGATCGTGCACAACTTCTCGAACAGAGTATCCGAGGGTAATTATCAATGGCAGTGAATGTAGGTAACGTAGAAAAAATTATTAAGAAACGATTCCTCTTAAAAAAAAATCCTGTCCCTCTCTTTCCATTCGTTATCCTTTTCCATAAGAAGAAAAATTCCAAGCTTGATCGAATTATAATTGATCACGTTATTAATTGCATGATTCTTACAGTTCTATAGCATGCAATGAAACTCGTAACTCTATGATGTTCGTGATTAATCAAGGTGTCTTTCTCTACACTTTCTGTTTAAGATTAACTAATCGTAATTAATCGCGGAATTAAAACCGTACAGGACGACTCCGTGATCGTACCACCGGATCCATGGATTCTGGTGTCAAGATCGAAAAGCACGTCGAGCATTTACCAGGAAGATGTTAGTAGAAGATCGAGCATATTAATACCCCCACCCCTGAAATTAAGCGACTCGAAAGTGAACGTCAGCCCGACTAGCAGCGATTTGCCTAGCGAATGATCGCGTTGAGAAAAATAGTTCTCAATAGAAAATATTCGTTCGACCAATTTAAACTGTTCTAATAGATTAATTTTAATAATACTCTTCTTTATCGATAAATGGTATATTTTAGTATCGTTTATTATTTTATGCGAGATAAAAAATTTGTAATATTTGTATCGGATCTTGTTTTCCAAGATACTTATAATTTCTCACAGTTTGTCAAAAACCTTGTCAAAACAAAAAAAAAAAAAGAAAAAAAGAAAAAAAAGAAAAGCAAAGAAACTTGTGTCCAATGAAATATTCGCTTGAAAATGTTTCGAACACCTTTCGAAGAGGAAAGAATCGCAGAACGTTCACTTCTCAGTCGGTAAGACGGATCTCTATCGGAGACATTCTTTGAACATAACCAAAGATTCTTCTCCTCCGAAAAAGAGAAAGATAAAAGCGTTGCCAAAAAAAAAAAAAAAAAAAGGTTCTGCGAGGAACCGTCCAAAAGTCTTCAAAAATTGCCAAATCATGAAAAGAAAAAAAAAGGGATGAAAAATACGTAGGGATAATCTTTCGTCGACATTAAGCACGTTTCCATGTAAAACTTCGCTTTCTAGATGACTACTCTATTTAGGTAACGCCAGTTTGAAAAAAAAAATTATAAAAAAAAGAGAGAGAAACGAAACAAGAGAAAAGAAGTTAGCGATTATTAAAGTTAGTAGAAAGTACAGGAAATAAAAAAAAAAATCACCAACAAACGTATAGTTCCTTTAATTGTGAATCGAAAAAGGCATTAGGTGCACCAACTAGTGATTAATTAAGCGATTAAATTAGGAGATATGTTAGATAGTCTGCACCTTCGAATGAGCTTTCCACTCAAAATGGGGACTCAAAATGAATCGAGTTTTTTGTCTCGATTATTATTACTATTATTATATATTATTTATTATTAACGTTATTATACGGACTTATTATACGAATATATTATACAAACGCGTAGATGCATGTACACGTATACAGGGTGTGCGAGAAATAAATGCCACGGATTTAAATTGTTTGACAAGTGAAAGTAAATTGTAATACAATTTTTATTTGAGTTAATAATATATGTAATATAAATAAAAACACGAATTTGTCATATATGTATTATTGTTCGAAAATGTGTGCCAATAAAATTTAAAAATTAATATTCTAAAATTAACGATAGTCAGAAAAATGATATATTTTACAAATTATGTAAATGTACGTGAAAAAAAATTCAAGAAACTGATATTAATTAGAAAACGAACGAGTCAACTCTAGATTGATAAACTTTTCACAATTGATTGATGAAACGAATTATAACCTTTTTTTTAAAAGTACTAATTTTTATCATATCATCGATCGATCATTTCTAAGAAATAATAAAAATTACTAATTCAAATTAGATTTGATAAAAGTTATATTTAAAAAAAAAAAGAAAAAAGGATATAAATCCAATAACCATCTTGTATATGTGCATACGCAACTAAATATATGTATACATATACATATATATTTTCTAAATGCAAAACTTTAGGGATTTCCGGACGCGCGTTCTCTGATCTAATTTATTTGACAAAAAAAAAATACACGTTTTTAATAATTCTCGAATAATTTTTTAATTTATGCTTGAAAACAACTATTCTTTAATTTTTCCCAGAACAAATTTCTGGGAAATTTTGTCGTAAAAAAAAAAATAATAAAATATATTTCACAATGTTCGTTTATCGTATTAAGATTCAAGCAATTTCTATGGAGATAAATAATTTAACAAGATAACAAGATGAGAATAAACGGAGAGATCAAGAATCGTATCGTATTTCAAATTATACGTATTTGTATTTCATTTTATAGAAATATTATTATAATCAATTGTATCGTATTATTAAATTTTATAAATAATTTTTTCCCCATTTTTAAACATTGCTAACCATACTTTTCTATTTATAATAAATAGTTGAGAGAGATACATACTATTTTTTCCTTTTTTTAAAAATATTATTAATTTCATAGCAAACACCATCATCCGTTATTTTAAAATGATATTTCAAATATGTTTTTCTCGAAAATCGATTTTTCTCTATAAAACATAACACGTACACACGCGCGCGCGCGCGCACACACCTTGTACAAATATATATATATATAATTGTACAATGACTCGATATCATCGAAATTTTATTACTCGATATCAGCAATATTTTCATCCTTATTTCGATCCCCTAATACGTACTGCACGAGCATTATTCAAGAAGCGATTCGAACAATTGAACATCGTCAATACTGAACGTTTCGTGAGCAAATGGATCGTAAGCAGAATTCATATAATTACCATGCCTCGCGGAGAATCCATAGATTCATAGATCTGCGGATCCAAACTGTAATAGCTAGAACGTTTACTAATATTAGTCGAGATCTTCAAATATATATGCAGTGTCTACAGTGGAATATCGATATTTTCTGCAAATTCATCGGTTTCTACGCGGAGTGGTTTTCATTAAAAAAAAAAAAAAAAAAGTAAAATTGTTTAAAATTGAACGAATTTATTCAAGTCAAATGGAGAAAAATAATTTTTCCACTATCGAAAAATAGTGTATATATATGTATATATTTCGCTGTAATACCTGAAATAATACGATTAAAAAAATGTACGTATTTATTTAAAAATAAATATCGATTTATAATTTCACGAAACGGATTATTCGTATTTTTAAACTTGATTTTGTTGAATCGATTTTTTCTTTCTATTTCTAACTTATTCACGAGGAAACATTTTGTGATTTTTCTTCTGCATGCGTTTAATAAATTTCACGAGCTATAATACTACAATGTTATTTTTTCGATCACGCGTATATAATACAACCGTAATTTGCGTTAAATCAAACTTGAATTAACTGAAACTGATCATTTCCTATATCCAATTATTGTTTCGATCGTATTAATTCGATATTCGATTATCGAAACGATGATTATTCCTTTCCAAAATTGGAATATTTAAATATTTATTACGAGACAATTCGAAAGGAAAAAGAAGAAAAAAAAAAGGAAATTAAGTCCGGAAAATCCCTGAAACAATGTCAATTTCTCTCGAAAGACTTTTGTAAGAGAAGCGAACTTACGAAATTATGAAAATAATAAAAAATAAAATAAAACGATGAGTGTTCGCCAAATGATAGAGTTAAGGATATTAATTTAATTAGGTTTATTGATAAACTGTGCCTGGCAGATTAATAGATATTACACACAAAAAAGATCGTCCGAAAAAAATTGATTGCAATATTTGTATCGCATTGATTATACAACAAGCATTATTTGCGTTTATATAATAAATTATGGAATCGATGTTATATATGAGTGTGTAAATAAAGATAGATTATCTTTGACAACGGATATTCTTTTGATTATTTCCTTTTCTTTTTTTTTTTTTTAGTAGTTCTGTTATTTTTGCCACACGGTAGATTCGCGAAATATATATGTAAGAGAAACGTGATCAAATCAAAATGATAAAAAAATTCTCAAAGTGACGTTGAAGCACATTTTCGAGTCTCTAAATAGAGATATTATCCTAATTTCTATAAAAGAGATATCTTGATTGATTCTTTCCTGATCTGTAATTATCTAAATTTATCGAGGCTTAGATAATGGCAATATATGAATAAGCTAGACATACTATATAATTAATAATTTCGAAAATAATTAAATGATTATCCTAATGTAACTTTAATAAATGAAAATAATTTTTACGATTTTGAATATTCAAATTATAGTTCTTCTACTACTATGTAGCGTACGGTGTCAGGTTTGTCAACAAAACGACTGAAGCCGAGATAGACGATCCTAGCAAACGACCTTTCTTGCCCCTGAGAGACTTCTTTCTAGCAATAAACATATTACTCTCGTCTAACAACTTATGATACTAAGGATTTCCCTTTGGAACATAGAAATATGGACAATTGCATAATACGATTTATCGTGCATGTAATATTTGCCCTAAGTTACGAATAAAAAGAAAACGATGCAATATCATAAGATGGTAATAAACGAAGGTAAATAGTAATGGAAAATAAAAATAAATGAATAATTTGAATAAAATGTGAAGAGAAAAAGAAAAAATTTGAAAAAAGAGTGTATAAATAAAATGAGTGAAATGAATAAAGTAAATATAATTAATAACATTAACGAAATAAACAAACTGAACAAATTGTATAAAATAAAATAAAGAAATAAATATAAAGAAAAAATTTAACGAAGTTTTATATGTTTATATTGTGGATAAAATTTAAAAAGAATTATGATATATAATATAAAAAGATATATGCATATCTTTTAATATTTAATATTTTACTTCTTGTTTCATTCCTACGTGTTATATTTCTTTATTAGAGAAATATTTCATAAAACCAATTTGTAAAAAAAGAGATTTCATTCGAAGAAAAAAGTTCCATTATACAGACGAATCGATAAATCCATTAAAAAAAATCGTGTCAGCGGAGAAACTCATTAAACCATGCAAATTTTACCATTTTCATTTTGTCTTATTTTTATTCAAAACAAGATTAGTCCAATCATTCAATGTATAAACGAGAAAAATTCAGATGGTTAGTAAAAAAAAAAATCTATTTAAAAAATTCGGACAAATTGTAATCTTTTATAAATAAAATTATTTTAAAAAATAATTAATATTTTATAATCACACAAAAACAATATACTCGTATTTTCTAATTAAAAGATAAAATTTTAATATTGCACCAATATAGTTGCAATATTTACAGAATTTTCTATATTTAACATGAAGTAAAAATCATGTCATCGAAGTGTAATGTTAAAAAATAATTATTTTTATAAAATGACTTACCTGCTCGAAGCCACCCAAAATTTCTGTAGTGTCCATCGCAGAATTTACGACAAGCGATTTGAGCTTCCGTCCAGTCAAGTTTGCGAGAAGATGAACGAGACTGCTTTTCCCTGTTCCAGATCCTCCAATCTATCGTAGAATTAATAATTACAATATTATAACAGTATTTTAATTACAACCAATAAAAAAATAAATAAAATAAAACAATAAAATATTTTTATTTAAAAATTATGATCTCACTTTTTTCCAAAACCTTTATAAAAATTTTCATTTGAAATTATTATCATTATACGTAAAATATACGTAAAAAAGAATAAAATAAAAATAATTTTTAAATCATAATTTTACTAAAGAATAAGATTACTTTAAAAACTTACGAGAATAGACATCCAATTCATGTTAACACATTGTGCAAGTCCTTTAAGAACAATTTTTTGTTCCCTTAGAAGCAACAAATCATTGTTCTCATAGATCGCAGAATCGTTACGATCCAATACTTCATCTCCCAAAAAAATCTTCTCTTTCGTCAAGTGAATTGGAAATTCTGTATCTGGTAAACGCCAATCATTCCGAGAAAATATCCTGTTATATATGTCGATTATCTGTAATTTAACAAAAAAAAAAAATTAAAATTAATTTTAGATTAATAAAATTAAAAAAATATGTAAAATATTAGAAAAAAAATTTACAGCAATATACATATATTATTATACACTAAGAATAAATTATATAAAGAAGAATATTTGATATACCAAATATTAAAAATATTATATATTATACATTACCTTTTTTTTATCTTCATTAGTTCTCATTCTATTTATATAAATTAACTGAGCACCATTTCCAGGATTGAATATCTTTTCTTTACACAATTTAAAACCTGCCATCATTATTTCACACCATCTGGTAACATCTCTAAGGTTCATTTCCCAAGGTGATCCTGAATGGCCCCAGGTAATTCCAATCTGAGAGCTTAATTCTTCATTAAACTGTATCATCTTATCGAGTAAATCTTCTGGTAACTCCGGAAATTGAACATTTAGAATGAACTTTAAATCGCTTTGTTCGAGAGCATCTACAAAAACCTAAACAAAAAATAAAAAGTCGAATAAAAAAAAATTTCTGATAAATTCTATTTTCATCCATCTATTATTTCTATATATTTATCAAATTTGTTTATAATATTTTAGCTTTAAATTATAAATATTTCGTATTACGAAAAACAAAGTCCTACAATTCCGTCCTTTAAAAACAACTATAATAAGATCAATAATATTTAGTTTTATTATAAATACTACAAATAAGAAGGAAAAATGATTCAATAATAACCAATATTCTTAAATATACCCGGAACATTAAAAAAAAAAACTGCAAAATCCTTAATTTCTCTAATCTACTTTAATAATTTATTAATATTTTAAATTTTATACTTCAATTTTTTTAATATTATCCCTTTTCTTATATTCTACAGTCTAATTAACGTTATAAATATAAGGAATAATGGATTATAGGGGTACATCATAAAAGATGAAATGAATTTTACAAAAGAAAACTAACAACTTTCGTTATATGACTTCACTTGGAAAACATAAAAAAAAAAAGATTCTTTATAATCTTACTTAAAAAAAAATAAATAGAAAATAAAAATAAAATATAATTATTAAAAAATGCATATTCCAGAGAATGAAGCTAATTCTGAACCCGATATCATATATGTTAATGTACCGCTTTTGGCAGCGAGAATGTCTAGCGACATTAGAAGCCACCTAGTGGCAGTTGTAGTTACTATTGATCCCAATAGCCGATCGTAACGTGAAATTAATTACACGTATAAACAATGATCAGAATATATTAGATTAAATTTTTTTTATATATTTTGATTTAAAAAAATTCTTAAAAAATCTTTAACAAAAAATTTTATATAGCGTGCTAAACAATGTATTACTGTTTTGAACAAAATTTAAAAAGATATCTTACTTGTGTAAAACGATTCAAAAATGATTTTGGAAGACCTCTTCTAGCTCCACCTTGACGAAGAGGATTTTGACAGCCGAATAATCGAGTTCCTGATTTCACAATAAAAGTCATTCCTAATTCTGGAATGTAAATTTCACCACGATGATCAAGACAGGCATTTAATCCTTCGAGAACTGACTGGGACGCAAGATTTAATTCATCCAGAAGAATCCAATCTCCATTTTTGAGAGCTCTTAAAAAAGGACCATCCCTCCATGAAAATTCACCAGGCTTCCCTCCTTCCACTGGTAAATCAGCTCCAAATAAATCCGAAATATCTGTTTGATCACTTAGATTTAATCTAAGAAGATGATGTCCAGATGCTCTAGCAAGTGCAGAAACTAAACTAGTTTTGCCAACTCCTGGACTACCTTCCAATAAGATTGGTTTCCTTAACTGTAAAGCACGTAAAACTTTTAGAGTATTCATTTTTGTTGTTGGGCTTGAAAAAGCAAATTGTATATTGCTTGGAATTTGTTCGTTTCTCTTCTTCACGTAAAATGGATGTATTCCAAATTTATCTTTATGGTATTCAATATCAAATTCCTTATAATTTAATATTAATTCAGATTTTAATGTATTTTGTATTTGCTGTTCAATAAATTTCAATGCTGAATTCTTAAAATCTTTTAATTTTCTTGAATTTTCTGCAGCAGTTAAACCAGATCCAAGTCCATCGATATAACTTAAAGCTGCACCATGGAAGAAGGCATCTCCTATTTTTAAATTTTCACAACAATTAACAAAATTGACCCATGTAAGTATATCTCTGACACTAACAACAAGTTTTTTCCCTATTTCCATAGATTGTAACCATTTAATAAACTCTATTATCGCTGTAGAAATATTTTTCTTGAATTCCTTATGTAAATTATGTTCTATAATGTATTTAAGATCATCCATTGAAACACAACCTTCGCACCAAATTTCCGTAAATCTATTTCTAAGGGCTGGTGAAAGTTCTTTTTTACCGTAGTCACCGCCAGGATTCATTGTACCAACGAAAATAAAATTTTCATGAGCAGTGACTGTTGCATTTTCTCCGGACGATGGTTTTTCAGCGATTAAAAGTTTACGTTCAGGTTCTAAAAGAGAGTTCAATCGTTCAAGTACACTATCATCCGCTAAAGAAATTTCATCTATTAAAAAAAAGCCTCCATTTTTCATAGATTTCACTAAAGGACCATCAACCCATTCAAACAATTTCTGATTTTCTCCATGTTCTCTGACTGGACGAAGACTTCCAAGAAAATCTGAAGCTTCTGTATGCATATGACAATTGACAATACTAAGTTCCTGGTGTCTAATTACAGATAATAGTTGGCAAACTGTAGTTTTTCCACCCCCTGTTTCACCAATTAGAAGAACTGGTTCTTTAAAGTCACAGGCTTTTGAAAGAAGTACTGCCATTTTACGCATTTGATATGTCCAAACTAAATGTTCAAATCCTGGATCTTTTTTGACAAAAGAGATTCCAAAATTGGCTTAGTAACAGTAGAAGTTTTTTCAGAAAGTGAAAATAGAGCATCTGGATCAACATCTCTTCTTAAATGTTTCTTTAATACTTGTATAATTTCTAAACATTCATCAGGATGACGAACTTTTGAAGAAAGAACTAAATATCCTTCATCAGCTAAATGTTGACTCCAATCATACAAAGTGCTTCCAGTATCGGGTGCGAGATGATATCTTTCAGCCCAACGAAACAAATCTCTAAGAGTTATAAAACCCTTCTTTCCAGCAAAAGTTGCAGTACTCTTTCTTCGTATTTGAAGTTCTGTCATTACATTGATTACTTGTTTACAATATGTTTCTGGCATCTTACATCTTTTATGCAAAATTACTTGAAGTTCTTTAGATGGAATTTCATCAAAATGTAACTCAACAAATCTATTTCGAAATGCACGTGATAATATTTTTCTTCCACCATATAAACCTGGAGGGTTTTGAGTAGCAAATAACATGAAATTATTATGTGCTTTTACAACTTGTTGAGTTTCAGGAATAAACAATTCTCTATTATCATCAAGAACTCTGTTCAAAGCTTCTAAAACATCGCTAGGTGCTAAATTTAATTCGTCCAAAATTATCCAATATCCTTTTCGCATAGCATCTACTAGAATACCCTCTTTAAAGACCAACTTTCCAGTAGAATCAGCAATATAAGTACCAACATATTCTTGTAAATCAGTGTGTTCATGATTATTAATTCTAACACAGACATGTCCAGAAGCTTTTGCCAAATATGTAATCAAACTAGTTTTTCCAACAGAAGTGTCACCTTGCAATAGTACAGGTATTTTACCTATTGATACTACTCGTACTAAATCTTTCAAATTTTGTTTGACTGTTTCTGTAAGAATATAATTTTCTGGAATTTTTGGATCAAGATCACCTTTAGGAATCCAATAGCCTTCAAAGCAGATAAAATTATCAACAGAACCATGTGGTCTTGGAATTGGAATTCCAATAATAGCACTTGCATTTTTATCTCCTAAGATAGCTTTTACAATCATTTTATGTACTATGGGATAAGAGTTACTATCTAATTGTGTTAGAAAACTTAAACAAAATGCTTCATATAAAGATCTCAGTGCATTTGCACAAGGATTTTGTGCAGATACATTTAAAGCTCGACACAAAGTTCTCAAACTATAATGTGGTTTATGTCCAGTTCCATCAAGAAGAGTAGTTTCTGCTTCTTTCCTGACATTTAAGTAAAATTTGACAATGCTTTCAATTTTTCCTGATGGAAGATTTAAATCATTCAAATATGAACTTACTAAAAGTTCTAAATCTGATTTCTCTATAAGTTCATCAACAAAAAATTCTGTAAATCTATTTCTTAATCCTACTGGCAAATCTTTTTTACCAACATCTGTTGCAGGATTCATACAAGCAAATATTGCAAAATCTTTATGTCTTTTTATAGGTTCTTTATCTCCACGCTCTAACAAAGATAGAGATCCACAGGATCCTTCCAATAAACCAGAAAGACATTCCAATGTTTCTGCAGTAGCCAAATTAATTTCATCTAATAAAACCCAATCTCCATTCTTTAATGCTTTTATTAAACTACCTTCTACAAAAGAAAATGCTAAGGAATATTGACTTTGCACTTGAGATTGAAGTTTTTCTAATTTCTGTGCTATATTTTCCCATTTCTTTAAAACTTCTACCTCATCTTGATTTTTCATAGATGCTCTCAATCTTCTTAAAGCAGCATTAGTGCTATGAATCATTAAAGTAGTCAATGTTTTCCATTTTCTTTCTTCAAAGCAATATCCGATATGATTCAAAAATTTTAGATTTGGTTCAATTGCAAAATACGATCGAATAAAATTTCAAATTCTTCACGAATTGGAAGGATCAAAAGTTTAAGATCTACTGGTTTATAACCACCAAGTAAATCTGTACTTTCACTTTGCTGATTCATATTTATTACTATTAATTTATGGCCTGTTATTTGCGCAAGATATTGTACACAACTTGTTTTGCCTGTTCCAGTCTCTCCAACTAAAAGAACTGGTTCTTTTTGAATAATACAACTAGCTATTCGTTCTAAAAGACAAACGGATGGTCTTGTATAAGAAAAATTTGAATTTTTTGATTCTAATTTAACTTTGTCAGATTTTTTTATTTCTAACTTTGCTCTACCAACAATGAGACATTTTTTGTGAATATTTACAGATGGTTTATGTATTTTAACAAAAAATTCAGCTTTTGTTTTTACAATACCTAATTTATGCGCTACTGCTATTGCCAAATTTAAACGTTGTACAGAATTTGATATAGAACAACAAAAAACATCCAAAGCATCTTGAAAGATTTTCAATGCCGAAATAGGTGAAGATACATCAAAATCAATAATAGCTCTGGAACACCATTTAATCAAATCCCTGGTAGAAATTTGTCGAGAATTCTTTATATTATTCATTTCAATTTCATCTTCATGATTTCCAGCAGAAAATAATAAAAATACATCAACAATTCTTGTAGCTACTGTATGTAATACTGGAAATAAAGTTTGAACTATTGTCACAAGTTCTTTTTTTGATAAAGATTCTACATTAACACAAGACCATTCTTTCTGTATTGGCATTTGAAGTGATTTTTGTGTTCCTCCAGAAATCAATCTTCTTGTAACAAACAATTGAAATCCACTTTTTATGTGTATTAAATCTCTGTAACCAGGAACTGATAATGTTTTAGTTTCTACAAGTTGTCCAATCACACTAAGAACATCTGATGCAGCACAATCAATATCTTCCAAAAGCAGCCATTTGCCAGATAACACAGCTTCAGTCAATATCCCTGGTTGCCATAAAAATTCTCCAGGAATTTCAGTACATCTGTACATTCCCAATAACATTTTAGAATCTGTTTGATCACCTAATTGTACTTTTGCAAAATTTTGTGCATCATGACCAGTAGCATGTGCTAAAAATTCTACTAATGCAGTCTTTCCTGAACCAACTGCACCTTGTAAACATACACAATTATTTGAAGATATTGCAAAAGCTAAGTTCTGCAAGTTTTGTCGTGTAGATGGTACAGGAACTAGATTCAAATCATTTTTACATTTAGATTTTTCAAATACTGGAAGTAATATTCCTCCAATAGATACTACTGAAGGTACATCAAAAATTTGATCTATTTCTTTGATATCTTCAAATGTTACATTATGTTTATTAATTTCTTTACTTTCAATAAAGAATTGTTGAATTTTTGAAAGAAAATCATTTGCACGAGATAAATAGCAAGATTCCGACATTCCTAACACAACAGCAATGCAATTTATTGCTATCCTGAAAAATAATTAAAAATTATTTTTATACATTTCTTTCATAAACATTTATTATTTAAATTTAATCATTTATTAATATTTAATTTTATATATCTTACCATCTAACACCTTCATCTTCATGAATTAAATATTTATAAAATTTAGACCAATTCCATATGTGTTTAAAATGCATTGATGCACTACATAGAATATCATAACAAGCAGTTACTAAATCATAATCAGATACTTCTATAAAAGATGTTATTTTTCGTTTATTACATCGCTTTGAAGATGGACTATAATCAACTTCTATAGATTCAAATGGAGCTGGATTTAACTCAAAATAATGTAGAACAAATCTGTAATAAAATAATACCAATTATTTTTTATCCAAAAATATTAATATTTTATATTAATTTCATAAATTTCTATATATATCTAATCAATCTTTATTAATATATTTAATCATTTAAATATTTAAATTACTTGTTTGAACTGCATTGATAATATTGCTAAGAAAACACACAAAATACTATATTATAAAAAACTTTAATTTTTTCCAAATATATTTTACATTCATTACATATTTTAAGAATAAATATTTTTAAATTCAAGTAGCAAAAAAAGTCTAATAAATTGCAAAGTATTGGAAAATTATTATTTGCATCCTTGTATGAATTTCTCCACTCTTCAATATTCAACCTAAAATATTATGGAACACAGAAAAATCATAATGTTAAATAAAATATTATTTCACATAAAATAAATTTACTTAAAAATATGAGAAGATAATTTTATAAGTAGTAACTTTAATGATAATAATTTCTCATATTGATATAAAAAAATAATATTTGTATTAATATATATAATATATATATATATAATAAATTATACAATAGGAAAATATAAATATAAAATATAAAATATTACAATATAAAGAATTATAAAAATATACATACATTAACAAATCTTGATTTTTACAAAGTAGTTTTCCTAAAATGACAGAATTTAATTTATGAAGTGAATCTCCATCATCAAAAGAAATTTTTTTCCATTGAGATACTTGTAGAGATTAATATAGGCAATAATTGTGGAAAACATTCAGCAATATCTTCCGTAGATTTTGGATTCATTAAAAATTCACACAAAATATCTAAAATTTTTTTGTACTCATCTTTGTTTGGTTCCTATAATATAATTACATCATATTATGTATAACAATTTTAGATTAATAAAGATAATACACCAGCTAATACAATACATTTGATGAGAATGTTATATTTAGTAAATTTAGTAAATTATTTCAATGACAAAAAAATTAATAATTTAATAAATTATTTTAATACATATAAACATATATATAAATCTAAATATAAGTAATAAATAAAATAAAAGAAATTTTCTATTTTTTTATAAATTTTTATATATAACTTATATATTATACTCATTCATTAAACATAATAATTTTTATTAAATTAAAAAGGATATTATACATGTGGAAATTAAAGATCGTTTTCTTTTAATATGTTATAATTAGATGAAAATAATATCAAAAAATCTTATTATTAAAAATAATATAATATATAAAAAAAAAATCTAAGCAAAATTTATAGAATAAAAAATAGTAACAACAAAAAAAAACAAGAATAAAGAAAATATTAAATACGATGTTTACAAACTAAAAGAATATATTTAAAATACTTAAAAAAAATTTTCATGCTTACTCTATCAATTTCAAAAGACGCTAGTTTCTCAGCATAATTTTTCTTTTTCTTAATAAAAGTTGTCAAACTTTGTAAAAACATTTTTGAAAATATAAAATTAAATCACATGTGCAATTCTGGATAAATGTTGAAATCAATGAGCAAATAACCACGTGTTTTTGACGGCACGAACTGAAGTTAGTCCTTAAGGATTACAATACTTATTGCACAAAAAATCTCTAGAGTATTTACTAGATACTATGTAGAGTTGACAAGTTGGCTAATAAATATCAAAAGATCAATTAATATCTACATTAAAAATACGATTTTATTAAAAAAGAAAAATAAGTGAATTTACATTGTTTACATATTTTTAAAAAATGTGAAAATCATATCATTATTTAACTTTTTCTATACAAATTTGAGATGTGAATGTTTTAATATCAAAATTTAAATAAAGTAATCATTTTATTATATGCATAATTTTTTTATTTGTATATCCATTTACATTATCAATTCAAAATTAAATTATTTATAGAAAATAATTTTATTTACAAAATTTTGAATTTCTTAAAACAAATAAACAAACATTTTTTTACACATTGCAATACAAAAAATATATAAATTGAAATTACATTTTATATAAAAATATTATGTTTAGTGTAGATTTATATAACATAATTGATTAATATCAAGTTCAAAAAATCTCAGGATGTAACTTAAATTCATCTTGTAGTCTTCTTTCAATACCAAGTAAAGAAAAGTTATCAACCTGAACATTAAAGCTGATGTAAACGGGCATTGAAAGTTTTTTTGAAAGTCTTTTAGCAAGATTACTCGAACAATCATTGACAATTGATCCCATTATCTTCGTTGTAAGTGGTTCCTTTTCATATGGTGATTTAATTGCAAAAGATAAATCATTCATAACATTTTCATTACAATTGCCTATCCACACATAAAGAGAATCTTCCATTTTAATTATATGACAAACAATTGACAAGTCACCAATTTCTGCCATAAATTCATGAAATTTCAAATCACATTTGTTTTTTTCCATTTCTTCTGATTGATTTTCCATATTTTCTTCAGACTATTATTCAATCGTTATTCAGCACTTTTGTTATAATTTTAAAATTTGCCGATCAGAATCAATATTCTTATAGAACGTAACCTCAAAATATTAAATTATATTTACCGATAATAAATAATATTATACGATACTATACGATATATACATGAAATATAAGATATCTATATTTCTAATCTATTTTGAATTTTTTTTTTAACTAGAAGATAAATAAGATTAACTTTCAAAATTAGGTTAAACACAAAATACAATATAATTATATATAGGAACCGTTTCTTGAGCGCGTAAATTTTGCAGAGCAAGTTTAGATAGAGCAAATGAGAGATAAGAGAGAGATAGAAATAATATAGTATATGATTATCAGTACCATCTTTTGAGTGTTAAAGACATCTTTTCAACAATAGGATAACATAGAGTAAAAATTGAAAATTATGAAGATAAAAGATAGATACTTCGAAGATAAAGTAGAATAGAAATTGAAAATCAACGCCATCTCTTGGATATCGGATATGTCTCATCAAAAGATAAAGTAGAATAATTAATAAGTACCATCTCTTAAGTGTTTTTAAAAAGTTCTTTTTTTTAACACTCAAGAGATGGCTTTTATAACCAATTCTTATTCTATCTCTATCTTCCTTCTATTATTTGCTCTTCTTGTCTATATATTAATTTCATTCATCGACACTCTAGAGATGGCGCTAATTCTCTAATTTTTACTTTATCTTTATCCTTCTTTCATTATTGATTTTCCTTATCTATTCTTGCTCTCGATACATAATCACAAACGAAACACGAGATATCAATTGAACACATTTTCATCATTTTTGTTTAAAAGCTTCAATATATTCTCGAAGCATAGAGGAATTATAACACGTTATAATAATACGTTGATCATATACATTTACAAGATATATTTGAAAAGTGAAAAGTGAAAGCACAAGACCAATACGATATAAAAATAAATTAAAACAGTGCCGCCAGATACTATACGTGAATTTTTAAATTAAACGTTTAAAATTATTTTCTCAAAAAATATATATTTTATTTTTATTGTATATCAATTTTATAAAATAACAAGTTAATTAGAATGTAAATTGTCAAGTTATTTAAAATAACCACTTTTCATTACTTATACATTCACATTGCGTATATTCATATTACAATTATTAAAATATTATAACAGTTTTATTTTATTATTATTAAAATTTAAAAAATACTTTCCTTCTTTTTTTTTTTACATTAAATTTTATATTATTATTAAAAGGTTACAATCCTCGAACAATATCGGATAAACTATAAAATCGAAATGTTTTTTAATACACGTTTATGTCAAGTGTAAAAAAGTATGAAAAAATAATGAAATTAATTTTAAATCACCCTATATGATAGTTACACAGCTAGCGAGGCTTATTGATATACCTGCACCAAAATCACCTGCATGTGCAGTGAGCTGTATACCTAAGCCTCTAAACGGTCGTGGCGCGTATAATTTATGAATTATTATTTTGTACTATAATGTTGGCCCCACTGTACGCGGGGCTGTTTCAAGCCGCACCAATGGGGAGTCCCATCTTGTTGGAAACTGAGATAAAAAGCATTCCCATTGGCGTAACATCTTCAAAAACCACGAGATGAGTATAAATTGTTTTCAAATTGTGTATACGAGTGATTTGATTTAAATATATTTTGCATATTTTATCTTGTACGTATTGCGAATTTTTAATACACAATCAATATGCAATAAATTTAAAATATTTGTTAAAATTACGTGTTAAACAAATTTACCATTTTTTTTCATTTAAATATCTTGTGTTTTAAATAAAAAGTATTTCCCCTAAATTTCTTTGAGAAAGAAAACTTTAACGATAAGGATATAACATTGATCATAAAAAGGAAAAGGATTAACTTTATAATAACTTATTAATCTCGAATTGATTAAAGACGCATAATTTAAATGAAATAATTTGAAATCGATTTTTTAAATTAATTTAATACCTCGTAAGATATTAAAAAACTATGTTTAAAACCAATACCAATAATTTTATTATTACACGTATAAATATTATCATCAAAATATAAAGTACTTGTATATTTTGAAATCATTTCTAAATTTTTAAACTTATAATTGGATTTCTAGCCGTTAATTCTCCCTGTTAATTCCCCTGCGCATGCTGTTGCTACGTGCTAACATGCGCGTAATACGAACGACTTTTAAAAATGATGCGTCATAATTTATATTCTCCGATTCCATATCTCAATACATTTTTATTTTATTGTAAAAGGTAAGTAAATATTTAATACTATTGTTAACATATCTACATGTTTCATTATTACACCCATTAACGTTGATCATAATTTATTACAAATGAAATTTGTCATTGTACCTTTTAGATAATAAAGAAACACGTAATGGTAAAGATTTCATATGAAATGTCCCATGAACCATAATAAGACATATGTAAGTAAGTACGTAAATATATATCCGTGAAATCATTCTGACAGCTGACAAGTTTGGTTACCGACATACCAACATGTTAGTCATGCCCATTACTTTTCAAGAAGAATGCTTTTTGAATTACACGTTTATGATTAATAACTATAGATATTGAAATAAATTTCTATGAAAAGATGTGGAGATTAAAAGAAAAAAGAAAAAAAAAAAAAAAAAAAAAAAAAAAAAAAAAAAAAAAAAAAAAAAAANAAAAAANAAAAANAAAANAAAAAAATAATAATAATAATATATATATATATATATATATATATATATATATATATATATA